TTTTCTATATTCTACTCAAGATTTTGATAAACACTGGCAGCTAATTTAAGCAAGCTGGCTATGAGTATTTTGCAATTTATCAATGAGGAAAACACACAATCTTTCTCTTTCATTTGCCCTCAATATAAATCATGACAGAAACCATTAGACCTCCTAATGACCTTGACACTGCTGCTTTCCTGCGCCATGTACAGTATTCTTTCAAATCCTACATTCAACAGTTTGAATGGCATTGTTGACATCTTGAGAGAAGATGCAAAAGTTGATGTCTTCAACAATACTTCAACACTATCGAGACGGTATGCATCAGCTCCTCATCTTTTACTGCACTTGAGTCACATCCCCTGTTTTTTGACACCTGCTTCTTGAGCCCATGAAATTGACCATGCACCTAATGATGTCATCATGATAGACACTTCAAGGCCCAGTGAGGACAACATATTGTTTGCCACTTGCTGCTGAAGTCCTTGAGTAAGCCATAAAAGGATAGGTATTCAAAAAGTAATGACAACAAACCTCAAAACTTACATTTTCTCTAATGCACAATATAATTGGGGAATACTAGTAACTGTACTGTGTTTGACGAATTGGGGATGTATACCGGTGGTTATATAGCTGCAAATTTAGTTATCGGCGACGCGTAAGTGGAGTCAATATAACGTTAAATTTGGGGCCATATAACCACTGGTATACATCCCCAATTCGTCAAACACAGTACAGCTATCCCCATTTTAATTCAACTCGTTTTGCGCTGTTTTTTCGTGAAAGAAATTCATTATTTAAACCAGGTCAAAGTTCCTCGAGGTCAAAGGTTAATCATATCACTCCTTCAACTGACACCATCGCCAGAAAAACTAGTTCCCTTTTCAAACTTCAACACATTTATTATGTGCACACTGACTAAATCTGACAATGATGAATAAATCATAGTGTTACAGCTAAAATGGACAGAATTATCATGAAACCGGACTCTAATTATCAGAAATGAGCGGAACACTGCAAATGATAATGGCCCGCTGATTCCTTAATGATGGGCCATTCTAAGATGCCTAGCATTTAGAACAATCAAAAGAAAATACATTATCAGACAATAAAGGTATAGTTTTTTGATGACGTAACAATTGAATGACGTTATCCCGTCGCTGCGCCATTCTAGTGTGCCCCCTCGTAATCGAACCATTTTACATTACGTCACAATGTAAGCGACGTCACGATGAATGTCAGTTGTCATCGCCTCGTACGGCCTCCTGCAGTAAACTACTCCGTTGCATCCCGTTTTTTGCTTTGCAGTTGCTTCACGCAGCTAACATCACTGGTGGAAACATTACGTTTATGTTTTACGACGGTAAAATGTGTCAATTCGACTCACAAGTTTTCAGCGACACGGTAACGTTCGCAATGTTTACATTCCCACAATGCAATCGTGGAATGTCGATTGACTACTCAGCTTCATCTTGATGTGGGTGCTGGTCGAACCCTTGGCTTCGGGGATGACGCCACTATACCCGTTTCACCGGTATTCACCGTGGGTGTGACGTTTAAGACGTTGATACCCGGGTTATTAGCCAAATTTTGATCGGTGGTGGCGGTGACTATTTCGTTGTCGTAACGCACCACTTTATGGATTCTCAGGTGCATGTCTCTCGGGGCCATGTACAGTCCCACTCCGAACACGTAGTCGGCTTTCGACCGGGCATATTCCAACACGTTTTAGTAGCGTTGGATAGCACTCAGTAGATCAACTGGAGCATTGATAGCATCCTCAATGTTTGACACGAACTGTTTCTGCGCGTCGTAAGCCGTCCCTTTACCCACGATGTCGGAATGCGTTTGTATCTGCGCTCCCTGCAGCGCCCACACATACGTTCGAATCGAGTAGTTCAAGTGTGAAGTGAAGCACGAGTGAACCCTCTCGAATCCAGCATGAACATTTTCCAATCGTTCGCAGACCCCTGCTCAAACCTCCAAACGCGATAATCCTTGCTGTCCTCGAAAGCCATGAGATCATCTCTCCACTCGTTACTCGTGACGTAAGAACCTGCATACGTTCTACCACCACATACTCATATTGTGAACGATAGGAATACCCAAACCGTGATTCACGCCTGGCAAACGCCAATCCGTGTTCGGATCGATTTCGAATTCATTGCAAATTCTTTCGTATGCACGTCGATCGTACGGATTGTTTACCGCATCCCATGCTTTGTCCTGTGGAAGCAGAGCGCTGATTTCTTTGAGGATACGCCTGATCTGGTAGCACACGTGAAACATAAACACAGACTTACTCAGCAGGCCACGTTGAGTGTCGCTCAACGTCACAACGCACCCTCTCGTTGTGCACCACACGCCAAAATTGAATTGATTCTGCCAGAACTGCATCTGGTTGTTAAACCAAGTGTGTACCATCTTAACGTTCGTCACCGAAAACCTGTAATTTTTAAACACATCGATAAATGGTGCTTTGAAATGCAACCCATCTGCAACCAAGATCTTCATGTGTGTGAAATCAGAAGTATCGCTTTTAGAATAAAACACTCCTGGTTTGTACATGTTGAATTGTTATATAATATATAATATATACATCCAATATGTACGTGACGCTTCCGGGAATAACGAGCGGTGAGGCCGTTCAACTGCTGCACGCGATCAATAACACATCCGGCTTACTTGAAGTCACACGCAATATCACCTACTACCCGCGATGGACCAACATCAACAGCAAAAACAACAGGCTGTTCGTCAACAATGTCCGCAACCAAATAACGGACGGCTACTACAGCGTGTACTATCTCAACAAAGAAATCTTCAAATCCGTGGGGGCCGAACTCAAAATTAACGACGGAGAAAAACACTTTGAGACTCAGTAAGCCATTGACTAAAACGCTCGGGTTTACGACATTCCACCAAAAACCACCGTGACCGGCACGAAATTACCCGATCTTGTTCCATACCATGAACTGTGCATTCATCTCGATCAGCTGAGCACATGCAACAACGTTCAAGGTGATGCCCTTCCACGCTGTTGAGAGCCGTACCTGTGAAAACGGAAAAGTGTAACAATGGCAGAACCGAATCGTTTTCGTCACGGCAGTACAAGAAATTAACCCGAGGCACCATCTAGGAATTAGAAGTATCTGTTTTAGACATAAAACATAATCCTGTGAATATAGGATTCCTCAGCGTGACGCTGCACATCCGATAATGACAAGCGCCCAAGGTCCCGGAATGCGTTTGAAAAAATGCGTTAATATAGTGGTCTCCGACCTCGGGGACACGAGCAGATTGGACGAACCAGGAATAGACTGTAAACTGTACGCCTTGCAACTGAAAAACAATATTTACAAACGCGTCGAAGTCCCCGCCGCCGGTAGATCTGGCAGTTACTTAGATGATATAGTTAATACATCAAGAGCTGTCAGCAGCATTCGGTACGACCTAGTCCGCAATGACGAGGATGAATGGATGATATACCCAGCGTTCGGCGGCAAGCTGTTCGACTTAAACGACGTCGAGACCACGGTCGTCGATCGAAACAAGCAGTATGCCCTCGTCTTCACCGACGACAACAAATGGATTTTAACACAATCTCGAGTCGACTGGTTTCTCAACATCATGCTCGGCTCTTCCTACGTGTTCACTGAAAACAAAGACCATTACCTAAACAAAGTCGTGAACAATGGAACCCTGCTCATGGCTTACGTCCCGACGCATAGGCGCAGTGTAATCATCAGCGCAGTCTCAAGTATGGCAGTCCACATGCTATCGAGTAAACCCGGGGAGCAAAACGTGGGGTTGCAGGTGGTGTCTGAATTCGAGGGCGTTGTCAACATCCTGGAAAGTCTACCGGCGAATTCCACGCTGGTCATCCAAGTCTACCTCGGTGAACCATCATCACCAGTCGAAATCGTGAAAGGAATCAAACTCCGGTGGACCAAACAACATCAATATCGCGTTTGTTCTGTTTACGTGTGGGTGAACGTCGATTCCCACACCAGTCTGCAGGGAGTCACCGTGACCGTGGAAGACACGATATCGCTCACCAAAATTTTCCTACCCGACAACATACATCTCATGGGGTTGAAGTGCACACCTGATAAATTATCAGAAAAACAATTGGAAACTATTTTATAATTTTATATAGACGATGAATCATCATCCCAACGTCACACTCAGTGATTTAGGAGACACGGAGGGGTTCGATCTGCCTGATGATGAAAACACCTGGTACGTCCTACAAGACAACGTGTATGAGCGGGTGCCGCTGGCAGACTTTAAAGAGCCCGAATGGTTGATCAACGTGACCCTCACCACCACCTTACATCTCTTTAAACAAAAATAGGTTTGTCTCCGAAATTAGGAACAACGGCGTCTTTCTCGCGTCTTTCATTCCGAATTTTGATAATATAATGGTTGACCAAATACCACATCACACGTGCAACATGTTAGTTTCAAACGGGGATTCAAATTTAAGGTTCGACTTACCCGATCACCTATCAGATCTTATGACTATGAAACCAGGCTCCACACTGATCATAGTCTTTCTCGGACACGCTGCTAGTTGGAGGGGTTCAGACCGATAATTTATACCTGGGTTGACAATACATTGTGAAGAGGGGGGCACACGTTGCCGTATCGTCATACAACTGGGATCGGAACCTTTACTGAGATTTATACCACCCTTATTAATACACACACACACACACCCCAATCCCCACCCATAGGTTTCGTATAGACCAAGATTTACCTATTAGCCTTTCCAGTATTTTCCTGTCCGAGGATCTAAACCTTATAAGTCTCAAATACACTGAGCAACCATTAAATAAAACACAATTAAAAAATCTCTTATAAAATATGTACACGGGATGGGTCTGTACCCAGTCGTAGAAGAAGTAGCGAAAACCAAAGAAATCATAGGAGATTCACATTAAATTGTTTCGCTGAGATCAACATTATATAGTTTATTGATGTGAAAATTTACTGCTAGGACAAACAACACTTACCTCCGCGTCGAGTGATCACAATAGTGCAGGGAGTGTTAGCTTGAGTCATAAGCCGCGTGACCAGGAGAGTGCCGATTCGCGGTCATAGTGACCAGGAAGTTGGCTGGGGATTCAAAAGTAGTATGCACACTAGTGGAGAGAGATAAGGGCCTGATAAAAGCTTTATTTAATAGAGTCTTTTGTTGAAAGTGATCTCGTACCATCACTCTGTATATTACTACTACTCATCTGGAATTTAATGAAGTATATATCATAAAAGCAAGAAGCCAATTACAATCCCACCAGGTTAACAAGCTTATGACAATCTCTCCAGGTTAACAAGCTAATGACAATCTCTCCATGTCAACAAGCCAATTACAATCCCACCAGGTTAACAAGCTAATGACAATCTCTCCATGTCAACAAGCCAATTACAATCCTACCACGGGGGGGGGGGGGGGAGATGACTGAATAGAAGGAATCTGTTACCTGCGATCAGAAACAGAAACAGAAACACGCCATTGAGTCATTGAGTGTTGTAACATATCCCCCCCCCCCGATTCCCCCCACAGAAACATACACATGATCTAATGATGTCAAAATGTGGATGACCTCCCTTCACTTATTCCAACACTACCTCTAAATGTTGATGCTGATATCTCAGCTGTTAAAATAATGAATTGGAGTTAATATACATGCTTAATAAATCAACAAATATTAACATATGTTAGTATATTATGATCATCAACACGAAGATGACTTCCAGTAAGTCTTCACTTTGAAAGGGAGAACAGATAAACAAGAAAGATCATTACCATTTAATTCTATGATATAAGCAACTTAATACACCACATTTACACAGTGAAAATATATTTACAGGAAAATAGAAATACATTGGAATTTCTGTCCAAGGTAATCTGTATAAACAGATTTTCATTAATTGTATGTATGATGCTCAGATTTATTTAAGTATTAAGTATTTGTTGAGAGGTAGACACTTAGAACTGTATAGCCCGAGGTGAGGTGAGGTGAAATTGGGTTTAACGTCGTGCTTGAGAATATTTCGCTCATATGACGACGTGCATGCGTGTGTATTTGTATGTGCGGCTGCTTGTACTAGCCCAGACTTAAGCTGGTTTTATAGTGCTAGCCCACTGAGATACCATGCCGCAGTGAAGCATGAATACCCTACTCAGACACATTATACTGACTCCAAGCCGACCAGTCCTTGTTTTACCCATTAATGCCGAGCGCCAGGCAGGGACCAACAAGTACCATATTTTAACGTCTTTTGGTATGACGCGGTCGGGAGTATATCCCGATGGGGAAATAGGCAAAGTAGACTGTATATAAAATTTGATTCACATATTTTAATTTTAAGATGATAACCACACCATAAACCTATTAAAAGTGTTCTGAACTGTATGACAATATATATACTTTAGTTGAACCATAATGAACAAAACAGCTTAAAATTACTTTAAATAGCCTCATGTTTCACAAGGTATTTGAATCCAGAATTATTCTCCTTTATATCATAACACAAAATACAGAGTTTAAGTACAATTCCTCTGTGAGTGACACTGACAGCTTGCTTCAAATACGTTTGGTTATCTGCGCTGTCCTACTGAGAGAAAAAATATGAATGCATGATATAAAAAACTCTAAAGAGTGCCATCAGGCGATAGAACTATTTTCTGTGGAATACAATATTATGAATGGTTTTCTATGAAAGAAAAGAGCAAACAAATCTCTCTTTTCAATGGCCCCCACTCTGCAGTGTCATCTGAAAGGACCAGTAATTGTTTTCCAGATGCCAGAACGTGTAAAACAAGGGCTTTCCTGTGAGGAAAACTGGAGCATTATTTATGTTAGTTTTGTAGAGTTACATCCCATGCAGAGCTACTTGGTACAAACGTGTTAATTCTAACATATTGCATAGAATTTCCTTCAGAAAGATTTGATTTACTTGTTGGCAGCGATGGTTATCCCTAAGTCTAATAAACCAAATAGGGATTAAATGGTTATTTTTAATTGTGAAGTGGTTATGTAAACACAATGATATTAAAGGATGCTTGATCGGAAAGAGGATCCACACAAACTAACACAACTAGTCCTAAGGCATAGAGATAGAACAGTCAGAGCTGTGAGTTATGTCTGGTAAACTGTAGTTTTTGCCAAACTTAAACTTTCTCACCTTTGGTGAGTATGGCTAGTTAGCTTCTGCAATGCTATGTACATCAAGTGGTTTTTCACATACTAAATATTTAGACCATTGCTTGATGTGTCAGACGAATAAAAGGCCGTCGGAAGCTGACAAGTAAACAGAAGAAGGAATTTGCTGAGTCCAAAACTGAAGAGAAAGTAGATGCGGGGGACACCATAGATGGAGGCGTGGCGGGGTATGAGTCAGCTGATACAAGAGAGGCGGTTGCTACACCACAGACAGGTGATGGGCAGTCAAGAAAGAGGAAACAAAAAGGTGACAATGTCGGAAATACTACTAAGAAGATGAAGAGTGGACATGGCGGACAGGTTGTTTCATCGTTGTTCAGATACAATCCGGATATACCTAAAGTTGTCAGGTACGTTGATATCTGCCTGCAATATTTAATAGGGATGGGAGATAAAACCGGTTAACCGGTATATCACAATTTGAACTTCACAATACGATATATTGCTGTACACTTTTCGCAAACCGGTTCACCCGATACGATCGGCAATTGGCGTGACCATGATCGATAATTTTGGTGATGTGAGTGAGTTTAGTTTTACGCTGCACTCAGCAATATTCAAGCTTTATGGTGGCGGTCTGTAGATAATTGAGTCTGGACCAGACAGTCCAGTGATCAACAGCATGAGCATTGATCGGCGCAATTGGGAACCGATGGCATGTGTCAACCAAGTCAGCGAGCCTGACCACCCGATCTCGTTAGACGCCTCTTACGACAAGCATGGGTTACTGAGGTAACCTCCCAAAAGCCCGACAGCCCATAATCCCAAAAGCTTATATCAACAAAGTTCATGGTCCAGTGCACTGCTAATCTCCTGCATGTTACCTATTTCATACAATGGACCATTCCAAACATTTGGAAATTAAGGGAATGATTTCAATGAGCAATAAGGAAACTAAGAGTTTGAGATAATGGTTTAAATGGAAGATCACAAAAATATTTTAATAAAAGTACAATAATATTGAACTTGAGGTTTAATTAACTTCATTAAATATCATAATATCATAACATATGAGTTGTGTTCATGTTATATTTTTCTACATATTATCTGTCAACCTCAAGCAAATTGGTTTTACCATGTTCCAGCCCCATCTTGTTTCACTTTTTATTTTGGTAGTTTGCAAAATCTGCAATAAATGCATCACAAACTTCAGGAAACAAAATATGAAAGAAACACTTTGGTTGTTTGAGATATTCAGAAGTTCGCTAGAATCAAACTACATTAAAGTGCATAAAATAATAAAAGCAATGGTCACACAAGTGTCAGCTCTCAACATATTGTATATCTGGACTTAATAGTTTTGAAAGATTAAAATGGGGTGTCCTTGAAAACCAGCCCCCGTCTAAACGTAAATCAAGCAGTCCAAATCTTTAAATGTTGATTATGACGGGAAGTCATCCAATATTAGACTGAATATATTTTATATGATATTATCTGAGGGCATGCCATAATCTAAGAGGTATCAAGTAACAGGTTGTTACGACGTAAATTGTAATAAAAACGTAAATTGTAATAAAAATTGACGTCAATTGTAATACGCAAATTGTAATAAAAATTGACGTAAATTGTAATAATTTTCGTTGCGGAAAAATGTAATAAATATTTACGTAAATTGTAATAACAGTTTTAATCCCTAATAAATACGCTGGTGTTTGTTTTTCGTTGCATTTCATACATCAAATAAGCTTGTTGGGGCGATAACTCAAGAAAGAAATGATGGATTTTGTTCAAATTTGGTACCAAGGTATATTGGCGAGATTCACCGACACAAGTGAAATGGAGTGACCTTGAGATAATTTTAAAGGTCAAAGCAAAAATCTGAAGGGTTTTGCCAATGTAAATATTGTTAGCGCGATAACCCAAGAAAGAACTGACAAAGACAAATCTTAGCCAAACGACGAAAATGATATTCGTCCTGATATATAATCGATATAAAATCTCTTACTATCCTCTGTATCATGTCTTTTCGCAAATATCTTTTAAGGTTTTGATATGTATAAATATAAAGTGGGGGTGGGGTTGAGGTGGCTTTCTAACTGGTATATCAAATCAAATCAAATCAAATTAGACATTTGTATAGCGCTACATATCCAGAGTCCTGCTCATGTGCGCTTAGTCGAATGCTCTTTGAAGAGGATGGTTTTGCGACAAGATCGGCAACTGTTGATATTTTCCGTTTTCAGACATTTTCAGGTAATCAATTCCAGAGTACAGCGTCCGGTCTGCTAAATGATCTGTCTCCGTATGTTGTGGTTCTGACAAATGGAATAGCCTAGCTGACTAGCAATGAAATGCATCACAACTTAAACTACAGGAAACAAAATATGCAAGAAACATTTTTGTATGTTTGAGATCGGTAGAGGTCGGCTAGAATCAAACTTAGATATTAAACTGCACAAAAAGGCAATTTGAAACTACAATCGCTTGTTCAAATGACTGCCCCTTCGGTTTACTGAAAGAACTCGAGAAAGAAATGATGGAGTTTGTTCAAATTTGGTACCAAGGTTTACAGACGAGATGTACCGACACCAATTGAATTTAGTGACCTTGAGGTCATTTTAAAGGTCACAGCGAAAGTGTAACAGTTTTGCACATGCCAAGCTTGGTAGCCGCGAACTTAGGAAAGAATTAATAGATTTTGATCCAATTTTATATCAAGGTGTATTGGCGGGAATCCCCCTACACCAATTGAAACAAAATATGCAAAAAACATGTTGTATGTTGGTAAAAGTCAAACATAGATATTAAACTGCACAAAAAAGCAATTTTAAACGATGATCGCTTGTTCAAGTGACTCCCCCTTCATGTTTACTGAAAG